AGTGAATGGGAAATGTCACTACCGAATTCCATGGGGTAAAAGAAGAAACAATATCATTCAAGCCCTTGTAAATGCTAGCCAGGACCGGAACAGAAAGACAAAACCCATCACCATCTGCAATCATGCTGGCAACTTTGAAAACTCCAGGGCGAATCATATTTTCAGGGCTAGAAGGCAGAACGAATTTGCATAACCAACAAGCTACAAAGGCAGCTAAATAAGTTTTCCTTTTCATCCCATATTCTATTCCAAGGCCGGTGAATAGCTCATCTGCTTGCAAAGTCCAAGTATAAATGGTGGTGATCACTCCAGAAGGATGCTTATGAGTCTAGTTGGGGCGTTGGGTTTTGTTCTTTGACATTTTTCTTTTAGATTTTTCATACTTTATTGGGCCTTTAAACCAAAACTTTACCCAATCAGAAATCTTCACAGTCTGCTCCTTTGTGTGATATTTACAAAGATGGTGGAAGGCAGAAAATAAGTACCGACAGTAAGGAGGAAGGAAAGGTTTACCATCTTTGTCTGAGTCTGATAACTCTTTCACATAAGGGATAACTTCTTCGTATTATCACATACAAGTCACAAAGAGAAATTGACAATTTGCCTATTAAGCAATGGAGGGTGTTGGTAGAAGAGCACCAAGATTCAAGGAAAGCTTTAAGAACAAGCCCAGCGCGATCATATGTGAATAACAAAGCAAATATTGCACCATATAGATTTTTTCTTTAAGGAATTTAGCATGGCGACCCATGACGTCCTCTGACCATTCCTAATATCCACCAGTATAGGATAAATCAGGGATCTTGAAGGAATTGCCCCATTCAGCTCCTTTAGCACACATCCTATGACCCAAAAGTGAAAAATGTTCTGGCACCTTTATTAGTTCATGAAGTGGAAAGCGTAAAATCAGAACATTTGAAATCAAGCTTATCTCATTATTCTGATTATAACCAAGGTTGGAGAGCTCACTGGAAGATATGCGGGACCACTCTAGCAAATGATGGTACAGAGGATTAGAGTGAAGCGGTTTCAGTGCAAAGTGGCCAACAAGAGAAGTTCTGACATCCAAAGTAGTTCCTTTCTCTATGGTGTTGTTCTCTCGCTCCAAAATGGTGATAGTATAGGGCTTGAAACTCTTGAAAAACACTATGGTTGACTAGCACCCCCTGAAGGAAAAATAATAACAATAAAAATAAAAAAAATAAAATATATCAAAGTGTGGATTGGCATGCATGGAAGATTTTTTGTTCCAAAGGAACAATGGGTCCTTACAGACTAGTTACGTTCCAAAGGAACAATGGGTCCTTACGGACTAGATGCGTTCCAAAAAAACAATGGTCCTTACGAACTAGTTGCGTCCCAACAAAACAATGGATCCTGACGGACTAAATGGGTTCTGAAGGACTAAATGGGTTCTGAAGGACTAAATGGGTTCCAACGAAACAGTGGGTCCCAGAGGGACTAAAAATCATGGGGAAAAAAAATCATGAAAAAAAATAATAAAATAAAAAAAATTAAAATAAAAAAAAAAAGAACACAGACATACCAATTATTTGTGTTCAAGCAGAGGCTGCAATCCAACACAGTCTTTAGAAGTTGTAATCTGACAAGTCTTCAAAGATTATTGGAACTGATGTCAAACCTTATAATATTGAGGATATATATAGGCAACAAGATACCTCCAAGTTGTATTGAGATTTGGATAATTCAATTCAAATAGGAAAGTCAAATTTTAATCCAAAGTTGGATAGAAAAGCAAAAGAGGAAAGCTTACAATCCAAAGTTGAAAAAAAAAAAAAAAAAAGGAAGGAAAGTTGAATAGTTCAATTCCCACTTGAAAAATGAAATAAGTCCTGTCAATCTTGGGACTCAAAGTGGGGACAATGTGTAGACACTAAAATTTTAGTGGACTTTGGTTTTGACAAATGGACCCATGAAATATAGACTTAATGTTTAATTAAGTTATTTAATTGGCCCAAGCTTGATCCACTTAAATTATTCAATTAGCCCAGCCCAGATGATTAAATAAAAAGATAATTATTCCTAATAAAATATATTTAGAATAATTATATTTAAAGATAATTATCATAATATAACCGGCTCGGCTCAGTTATGATTTTATCTTTATCAGGAGATGACACGTGTCATCATCCTATTAATCCAATAAACCTATAAATAGAGGCCTGAAGGAAGAAGGAAAACACACAAATTCAAAATTCAGAAGTCCAGAAATTCAGAGATTCAGAAGTAAGAGACACAAATTCATAATCCAAACCCAAAAGCGAAGAACATCAAGCATATCAAATCGTGTCGTTCTTCATCCAAATTCCATGGTGATTCAAGATCAAAGTCGTGCAACCCTTGGATCCAACCAACCAAAAGACCTTTCTTTTTGTAAAAAATATTACAAAGGATTGTACCCCATCATTATCAATTAATAAAATATTATATTTACCCCTATTTTGTTTCGTATTTGCAGACTACAAAATTTGTGTATACAATTACTATTGCTCCTCCTAAAAATATTTAAAAAATTCATTATTACCCCTAACATAATTTTCTGAGTATGTCCCCGATGGTTGGTCAATAACCGACAAGTAACTTGATGGGAATGAAATGCACTTCCCTGTAAATTAGAAACTTAGATGTGAGGAGACGAAATGCACTTCCCTGTAAATTTGTTTAAAGCAAAAACGACTAGGACACTTCCCCAAAAACACAACACCCTCTTGAATTGTTATGCATAACTTTTATTAAATTCATAATTTTGGTCCATCAACAGGGCTGGTCTAGCAAAGCCAAATCACCTAGGCACCATCTTAATTCTAAGTGAGGTAGTTGTCTCAACAATTCGGGTTGGGCTTGGGTTGATATGGATAAAACCCGAAGCCCAACCCGAACCCGAAAATATTATATATATTTATAATTATACTTAAGTCACAAGAGTCTAGTAGTTAAGTTGGTAATGTGTTTGAGATTTATGTTTAAGGTTTCAGGTTCAAGTCATGAGTGCATTATTAATTGAATTACTTTTTACACAAATTCTTTTGAGGTGAGCTTAGTGCGAGCTGGGCAACTCGGCTCAGGCTTAAGGCGGGGCTTGAGCTGAAGATTTTCTACATTAGCCTAGCCCGAGATGAGTGCCAAGCCTGCCCAACCCGCCCGCGTTGCAACCCTAGCACTAAGCCAAAAATAAGAACAACTTTCATTCAATTTCTGACTTAGCTCAGCCAACCCACACTTAATGTCTACACACACAGAGCAAGTAAAACACTCTCACACACAAAGTATAAATGCAAGAATGTATGAACAAGAACACCCACAAATTTACAGAAGCCCAAGGCTTCCAACCTTTTACTATTATTTACAAAACAGTATAAGGAAATGCATCAACCTACAGAAGCATACAAGAGTCTCCCACAACACTCTTCTCTATATCTCACTACCCTTCTCTCTGTGTATCTATCTGTGTGTCCCTCTCTTCTACAGAACCCACCTATTTATAGGCAAACTCTCAAAACTGCCCACAATAGCCACTAAAGTGGTGGATAACACCCCCAACCACCTAGGGTCGTGCTGGCACAATCTCAAAATGTCAAAACTACATTTATAGTTGACAAGCTCCACTGTTAGCTTGCTGACATGCCCTGCACATGCCATCTGTCCACAAGAGGTTACCTATCATCTACCACATATCTATATAACTCTATATATCAGCATAATGGAGTAAAGCTGACCCCAATCACGTGTGTTGTCGCCTCAAAATTGTGCCACGTGCATGGCAGGTTACTTATCATACCCCCACTCCCCATAATACATGCACAGGAAGTGTTAGTAACCACCCCAACCGATTAAGCCCACCTAGCCATTTTCAGTAACCATGAGCCATGTCTGAGTCCCCTGAGCCATCATTGCATGCTGAGCCTCGTATACACCCACTGCCTTGAGCCTATGTCCTTTACTTGACCATGCCACACGTCCATGACTTGTGGTCCATGCTTTAAGCAACATCTGAGTCAACTATGTGAACCTAGCTCGTGTCAAGCCCACTAAATTAAACCAAGCCAACCCATGCTCATGAGTTATCCCGCGCTATGCCCACACTTCGGTCCATTCGAGCTGCAACCTTGCCCAAGACAAGTTAGCATAATCCAAGGACCTATATGTGCTGGTTTGCCAAACCATGCACAAGGCTTGGGGCTTGTTGATGCACGAACGTGCACGTGCTGCCCGTCCTGCATGCTGTCGACGCGCCACTGAGTGTCTCCTTCTTGACCCACCACCTTCGGATGGTGTGTATCATGCCTAAGCATGTTGGCTAAGCTCCCAATGCGTGTTACATGCAAGGCGTGCCATGGCCTTGCTGAGGGACATGGGTGCTGAGGAGTGCTTCCCAACATTTGAATAAGGAAAAACTACCGCTCTAACATAAGTAAACATTGCATATGTTTGAGGAGTAAAATTAACTCTTTGAACCTCCAAAACCAAATCAACCCCCCCTAACTTTTCCAAACCTAAACTCCAAACTTCATTTTTTTAATATATTTACAAAAATGTCCATGTGCACATTGATAGCACCTCATGACTGTCAAGGGGCTTGTCAAAGTCCAAATCCCGTAACAGCAGCACACTACATGGACAAAGACACACAATCACACGCGTGCGCAAACACTCCCCACCCGTTCCGTTCCGTTCCATTCAGTATGCATTTTCACACAACTTTTACAATTTCAACTGTCATAATCATAAAAAGACGAACCAAAATTTTTAGTCCGGGCACAGACCTTGCACCACAGACCCCTCGCGTTCGATACGTGCCTGCAGGCATGACCGCTCAGGTACGCCAAAAGTCCAAATTCCTAACAGTAGTTCACAATTGTCTATACAAACCATTAAAACAATATTCATTCCATGAGGAGTGCCTTCTTCCTAATCATAATGACAATCAGTAACAATAATCACACAATTTAATTTTTTGACAATACATCGGCAAACGAGAATTTTTATGAACTTGATGTTTTTTATAAATCCGCAAATAAAGAAATTCATTTCGGACAATTGAACATTCTCGGACTGTTTCTTTTTAAGAACCAAAAATATTTGTGCCAAAATAACAATGCCAGGAAGAACAAAACACCTTTTGGACACGTAATGGATCTTGAAGTACTATTTCTGCATCTCCCTGAGGAGAAAGAGAACCATTATCAATCACTAACGTATATATAGAACTCAGTCATTTTCTATCTCTAATACAAATATAGTACTAATATCATGATACTACAGGATTCAGAAGTGTTCTCAATTGTAATGATGCATGTATTTAGTCTTGGATTTTATGCAGCGGATACTGATTGTGATTTCTGCCGGGGTGGTATCCGAAGCCAAAACTTCATCGAGTCATATGCCGTGAAACCAATTGCTACACTAGGAACGATCTGTTCACAAAAATCATGACATGCCATTAGTTACAATTTTTCAATAAAAGAATAATAATAAAATAGAACCATTGTAAATCCAATTTAGAATAAAAATCTTCTCTTTGGGTCTTAGTTGGGTCTCAGATGACAAAGCTCGTCTCAAAGAGGGTTTGTGTTCTACATGATATTGACTTGTTTGACCCATCCCACAAAAAAAGTGAAAGCAAAGTTCTTTTCCTCCAAGAGAAAAGCCAGAAATGTTCATATGGTAAGCGTTGGATGAATTTTTTTTTTTTTTTTTTTTTTTTAATATGGATTAAATCTTCAGAGATAGATAGAAACACATTTAAATTTTCGGGAAAAAACACAATAAAATACTTGTTTAACTGTTCCCGAGTCCAAAGTGGCAAAAGTCAGAACTCAATTTAAACCCAGGTCAAAGTTCTTCCAGAAAATCGCATTGACATTTTCTAAGACCCATTGGAAGAATATAACAAACCATATTGTTATAGTTCTTCTATCACGTGGGGGAATAAGAAATAGATCAGTTGATGGTGTGCTCAAAAGGCTCAAAACCTAGGTTTTTAAATTTCACCACTAAAAGAAGTTCTAGTTGTGCAGTGCTAACTAGCACTACACGAGATGTGTCTCGATCTTCAGCAAAATTTTCAATGTGGATCAGGGATAGGATGACGCTCATAGCAGCCGACCATAATAAAAAACCATAGTCATTGATTGAATAAGAGAGACAATCAACAGCAAGTATCTTGACAAATAGCGTTCTACAATGTGGTCACAGCATAATGGCTTGACCATATAATGTAATCAATTACCTTAATAAAGTTTATGCTGAGGCCAGCAAACAATTGCCTCCATCCTTGATTCCGGATAATAGTGGTAAGCCCATCCAATGTGCTACGGTATCTAGCACCACCTTGCATTGAAGGCTGCAGATGTTCAACCTGATGACAACATAACCTAATTAATTGAAAATACCAGATCAAATTAATTTATGTAGAAGTTCCAAGCTGATATCATATTTCTTGTAACATTCTAAATCTTGTCAGAAAAGTAAGAACGAACCTGAGTCACTTTCTGTTTGGGTCTATTGTAAACTAACCCCAAAACTTATATATAACACAAGTATATAATATACATTATATTGCATGAATATATACGTTTATGTAAATACAATTAGCATATCTTATTAACATAAACTTAATATATTCAAGGTCATAAAATAGATCACATTTAACTAAATAGGATGGGTCATTCATTTATATCCACTCTGCCCCCCCTATGAAATCACCAAGGGAATTTTATATATATATATATATATATATATGGTAAAATACACTCCATCAAAACCGTATAGGTGTAACAGGGCAATACCTGCATCTGCCTCCTGACAACATCCAAAGGATATGTGAGGGTCTGCCCAAATAAGCCAGCTAGAGCTCCACAAGAAAGACGCATCACAATGGATTTTTGGTGCTCTTCAGGTACATGCCTTTTGAGTTCCTCATAGATGTAAAACTTCAGACCAGCATAAGGAAGGATGCCAATGAGTGTTGGTCCTGTTTAAAGTATAGCTTATTCCTTTTGATCACTTGAACAAATACAAATTTGCAAAAAAACCTAAGCACGCAGCTGAATATGGAGAGAGCAATTAAAGCTAAAAGCAATAAATAGTACAGGGTTAACAGTATCCAATCAATGGTATCACACAACTGACCCCATTATATGGGATAAAGGCAAGGATGATGATGATGATGATGAAACTAAGCTGGTAATCAATTAGATTCAACTATGCTGGTAATCAAAATAACAACAATAAAATGACAACAAAGATTCCAAAAATTTGAGTCTCAAATTACAATTTTTTTTTTTTTTTTTTATCAAGAATCGATCATAGATGCTATTTGTGCAACAAAAATAGTTGTGCAATACAACATAAATACGAAAAAATAACATGGCAAGCAAATATATACCTACACCCCGATACAGCCCACGTACTCCTCCCTCTTTGTATACACTTCCTAATACATTTCTTATGCCACTATATTGAGGCTGGGTGTGAAAACTTCTCGTAACATTACCAAAACTTCCTCGTGTGTCCGCAACCTATAAAAACAAAGGATGAATACATTAACAATGGCAAAAACACAGACCATTTAGTAACAATTGAACTCTTGGAAAATCAACCCAAAAAGTAAGAAACTGAACCATAAATTGGACTATACAAGGTTTGTTCGAAATATGAAATACATGATTTATGGTGAATTTTCTAATACAAGTATGACGATGGAAAGGGGAAGGATTTGTTCGTGGAAATGGTATATGGATGTACTTTGGTATTGATTTTGTCTCTCTACTGTGTATTTGCCTGGCATGAAACTCCCTTGGGTCGAAAGACCCTAAATGGTGAGGGTTTAATGAGTGGGTCTTCATGGCCACCAGGTGCGAGCCCCTTAAGCCGAAGGATGAGGGCAGTGGTCCCGGTGAAAGGTCCCTAAAGACGCATAGGTTACACAGTGTTTGACTGTATATGGCATTATTATCTCCTGAGTTTTTTATACTTGATAAATTGTCCGGTTTCATGACAACATGATTTCATGTTTTTTATCAGTGATGAGTTGTATTAGAAATGATGTTGGATTATAGGTTAATCAAGATACTATTGTTTACATGGTTATATACGTTTCACAGACTAGTCCAAGATGTTCAATTCATTTATCTAAAATCTTTAAAAAAAAATCTTTTCTATTGTTCAAATAAGTTATTTTTAACAAAAAAAAAAAGTTATCTGTTTTTCACAACACACCAGGAACCGACTGGACTCATTGAGCTCACCCTATTTTTCCATAAAACCTTTTCAGGTTCTTGCTCGTAGGCAAACTCCAAGAAATAAAGGTAGGATAGCTATAAGTTTTTGGTAAGTTATCTTGTTACTTGAGTTTATTATTTACTTTTGAACGGTTTGGAGTTGATTCGAGACTTGGAGTGTTTTTTGATTTAGAAATTATGGTATTTTCATTAAATTGGAGGGTGAATTAAATTCATGTACCCGTGGGGAGTGGGAAGTGGGGCATGGCAGATCCCCTTGAATCAATCGACTAGGATTGTCCATAGAGTTTAATCACTCAAAGGACATATGCCTAAGTCAACTTATCTATCTGGATTAGCAGACTGGTCTAGCCAAAACAGTCGACTGCCTTTAAAGTCTGTCAACTATTTGAGACAAAATTCAAATGGCTTGTTCAGAAGTCCCACAGTGTATCATTTGTGCTCAACGGCTATAGTTTGAAATGGGGATATAAAGACACCTTGTAGTGAACATCTCTTGTGTGAGAGGGAAAAGATTATATACATACACAAGGGTGTGAGAGAAGATAAAGTGATATATCTTGGTTCAATTCTACCATTGGAGGATACAATTTATCATCCATTATAGGTAGAAGCTACCATGGGACTTTATTGTTGAATATCTTTCTTGGGTAGAACCACTATTGAGCTTTATCGTTGAATATCACTCGTATTCCTTCATAGTGGTTTGAAACCCTAGAGATGAGCTTTCAAATGGAATGCTTCGTGTATTAACTCTAGGTGTGTGAGCTTAAATGTGTATATATCTATCTTTCAAGAGATATCATTGTAATAATTGTGCTCGAACTCATATTCTTGTGAGTATCAAGTTCAAGTGCTACTTGGTAGGGACGAACTTGGGTTTAAGCTTCGCAAAGGTTTCACTCTCTACCTTGATAAGAAAGGTAGGTTTCTATTAGCCCAGTAATTAAGAGAGGTTACTTCTTAGCCCATAAAAAATGTGTTTTCACTTGACATGTAACCAAGTGGTGTGAAGGTTTTGCTCTTCACCTACAGGAAGAGGCCCAAATGGGGGGAATGGGAGGAAATCCTAAAGTGGCATGCTTGAGGAAAGAATGTAAGTGGATTTGCCAAACCTCGTAACATCGTTGTGTTAGCTTTTTTTATCCCTTAACTCCTTAATTATTGTCTATCCATGTCTGGAACCAATATGTTTTGGAATAAGTTAAATTAGTACGTTAGCATAACTTGTGTATTGTGTTTTAGTATGTTTAGACTAATACAATTTGTTGCATGGATGTTTGATATATGCTTTAGACTAGATGTATGATAGGACTTAATGTTATTATAGTTAAGTCTAGGTGTTTGACAGGATTAGTTGATCCAATATATGATATATGGTGTTAGCTAATATATGTTATATATGCTGTATGTCGATTAGAATATGTAAGTGTATTGTGTGAATGCACCTTAGATAGCTTTTCATCACAGTTAATTGACTCAACTAATCAAGCCGAAAAAAATCAAGAAACTAACTAAACAAGAATGTGAAATGAAATCTAAGGAAAACAAAATAAACAAAAATTAGCATAAGCCTAAATATCCATCTTTCTTAGGAAGCTAAATCTCTGAATCATCTAAGTCAATTAACTTTGAAATCACCTTAGAAGTTCACCATTAGATAACCAAATAGGTTTTAGCTGTTAACCCCCTCCTCCTCCTCCTCCTCCTCCTGCTCCTGCTCCTGGGTCAATGTCTACGCAACAAATGCAACTTCAATATTTTCCCCAAGTATATTTATATACTGAACTTCCAAGATGACTGAAGTTCGAGAATCATTGTTACCATTAAAGGAAAAAAATGGTGCCAACTGCCATCCAAATGTTAAAATCACAAATGCCACCTACACTTGCTTGTCTCACCAGTAACCTATTATACATGATCAAACTATCTCAATCAAGAGCTAATAATCTCCTCATATCTTGAGGCTAGTCTTGATACCCCAGATACTTAAATCTCTAGGTTAATAATTTCATCTTTCATATCCCGATACATTGATGTTTTGAACTAGTTTCTTCTCAGTTCATCAACATATTGCTCTATAAGAAATAACAGCTCCTATTATATTTTTGCAAAATTTCCACTCTTAAATTATTTGGTAAAAAATCACATAACAATATAAATACACATCTCCATTTTAATCGTCCATCAACAGCCAATGGGCAATAGTATCACTCTCAAATTGATGAAAAACCCAAGTAACTGGAAATCATGTTCCAAAATCACTTTTTTTGCGTGAATTGTTCCAAAACACTAACCAACAAACAAGAAATTCGCCCCAAACATAAATATTTAGATAGCCTGTCATCTTGATTTGTTGGACCTCTACTAAAGAACAAACAGAAAAGAAAGGGAAGAGAGAGAGAGACGCAAGCAAAAGAGAAAAAGAGAGATTACACTTGATAGACCACTAATGTGCATTATGGTTTTATTTTTAATAAATTCATGAAACACATAAATTTGAGTCGTTAAGACTATAATGTTTAAATCCGTAATTCTAGTTTTCCATTTACACTCATGAATCAAAACCACGTCATCTAAAAGCAAATTATTGTAAACAAACAAAAAAACATCAATAAGTGTTTTAAAGTTTATCACTTTCCAAACAAAAAAAAAAAAAAACTAAATCAAAGTGTATAAACAAGAACCAATTTTACAAACTTTTTAAAAAGACCAAGACAAGTAGAGGTAGATTGCGCCTCAACAATCAATGCATCAAAGCATCTTGTAGACTACTAAAAGAAAAATCTCATTAAATTATATAAAACATGAAAAACAAAAAATATGTATGCACACACATTTATAAATCTGTTTTACAACCTATTTAAAAGCTATGATAAGTACAATGATACAGTTAACAAAAATACACAAAGAAAGAACCTGAGTGAGCATAAACTAGAATCCTAAATACTAAATCCACACTAAGACATGCTTTAATCACCATAAGCTATGTTATGAAATACGCACATCATTTAAGGGAATAAGAACATATTTAAAATATGCTGCAACCAAGTTACCTGGTAGGCAAGTTTAGTACGAGCCAAATCTAAAGGATATGTGCATAAAACTGCTGTTCCTCCAGATGCTGAACCAGCTAAAAGATCTACAACAGGCCCCGTTCCTAAGGCAGAGAAGTTATTTAAAATCCAACAACGATACTGCTCATATGTCATGAAATGTAAGGCTGCATATGGAATAATACGAATGACGCTAGCTCCATTTCCTCTAAAAAGACATGTAAAGCATGAGTTAAAATAATATTCACGAGGGAAGTATGCCAAGAAGTAAATGATTAAAATTTAATTAAACTTACTTATAAAATCCTAAAACACCCTCATGCTTCAGCAACTTCTTCAAAGATTGACACACCCCAAGAGAGTGGAACCCTTCTGTTCTTGTCTACAAATATCCAAGGATAGAAAAAGTTAATAAGACCTAATACAAAAATAAATAGAATATAATACAAGCCACTAAGATATATCATTGCAATGACTGTCTAACGCCAATATACAATAGAAGCACCAAAATAGCATAACCATAGGACTTTGAAAACAAATACATCATCATAACTAACAAATTCAAATACTGAAACGGACATCAATCTCAATATATTAGAGATATTTATAGTATAAGAAAATAAAGATATAGATGTCTGTCAACCGATTTCAAAAGATGATCACTTCTTGCCTTTTGACCAAATGCCAGAAGAACCCTACCTAAAATTTTGTATTATAGACTTCAACTGCTACAACCCAATCACCTGTGGGCTATGGCTACAGCTACAGTGTATATCAGAGAAAATGTACCAAAGAAGGTAAAGAGCTCTTATGAAATACAAAATTTCAACTCCAAGTGCTCCAATTCCATTGCTGGTCAGTTTAATAAAGACAATGACACAGGCTAGTACCTTGAGTTCTAGGAGAAAGAACCCTCAATGGAATAAAAATACTGATTTCCTTTCTTACAAATAAAACTGTGCAAAATAAGTATAATTGATACACTCTACTAATATATGAGCTTATTATCTTTTGTCTACCCTCTTGAATGCCTTATCATAATATATGTATAATTGTATATATAGATATACATATATGCATATCACTTTATCCCAAAGGACCAAATGAGGCAATGAAATGTCACATGAGAGAACATACCTTTTCTCTTGACAATATGAGATGCATCTTTTGAATTTTTTTTTTTTTTCCCTGGGCATCTTTTGATTATATATCATAATTATCCCTTGAGGGTTTTTTACATACGATAAGCATCGCATATTTGGATCTTCCAACAAGATATTCTTTACACAAATGAATTGAAAGGGCTGACCCACTTTAAACTGTCCATTCAGGTTATTCTTATCTTTAAGTGGTGATAATTCATGCGTGAATGGCCCAATGAAATAATTATTGAATTACAACTGTACAATTGTCCAGGGCCGGCTCATAATTTGAGGCCTTAGAGAAAAATCTAAAAGTGACAGTTTAATGTTTAATATGTTAACATAAAATAATAGTTAACAATTGTTATTTAAAATTTACCCTAATTTAAAAATTCCTTAACCCTTTTTTTTTTTTTTTTAACTTTCAATGAATTATGGCACCCAAGTAGAAACTACTTTTTTTGGCTTGAAAACGAAATAGTAATTCAAATCCTTTGCAGTATAACGTTGAGGCACACATGAAAGTTTGCAAGGAAAGAAATTAGGAGAGTCCAAACATAACAAGAGATGTGAGAATATAAAAAAAAAAATAATAATAAGAGATGGAGAGAATGTAACGAGGGAAAAATGTAATTGGAGTTTTATTGGAAAAGTTAAGTGGAGAAAAACTAGGAATATAGCCTAGCATAGTAGTATTGTTACGTAAATGTGACTATCTGGTATAATTCTGATTAGAAACAAACTTGATAAGAAATGTACACAATACAAACAATTAGTCAGTAAAATTGAACTGACTAAATCAAATTAAAAATAATCTACGAGACATATATATATATATAGAGAGAGAGAGAGAGAGAGAGAGAGAAGTTGATATGGAGCACAGGAAAGCAATGAATAAAGAAGCTTCACCTGCAAGAGTATTTTGATTCGTTCCAGAGGAGCAACTGTCGTCTTGGCAAATGCTCCAGCAGCACCTCCAGCAATTAGCTCCTTGACATAGATGGGCATACTATCAATGAATGAAACTTCCCTATGAGCAGAAGACCCATCAACAAAACCCGCCACATTTGTGGACAAAGAAGACCCTTGCGAAGAACCCATCTCAAATTATTCCTACTCAAACCAAGTTCTCAAACCAAAACTATGAATTCGATACAATCAATTATCCACCCTGCAGTTTGAAGAACTCTTTATCCCATCTATCTCGCGGGGGACAGAATGAGAAATCCTTTTGTTCAAAAGGCAGACACGATGGCCCGAGAACACCCGGAATTGTATAGGGTATGTTCACAAGCCGATCCTCTTCCCCAATAACGACAAGATACATCAACAAATGATGATAAACTAACCACACAGGTCGAATAATCAAAGCCCCTTCAATTGTATGATTGCCCCCATGAATCTATATCAAATTCATCAATGCCCATCAGGAAATTGACAAAATTTATCAATACTCCAACCCAAAAAACAACAGTCGAGATGAAACCCTTTAAATAGAACTATCCCACGTAGCTCCCAGACTAAATCGTTAATATCCACCTGAGGTTGATCAATGAAAAATTGAATATTTATATCAAAAACCAACTACAAAAACCGTGTAATCAAAACCAAGTCAATATAAGCATTACGTACTTGGATCCAAGACAAAAATTTTAATGCCCATATAGATTTTGATCAATTTTATCTATTAAATTGAACATTTAGCAAAAACCAACAATAAAAATCGAATAATCAAAACCCAATCAACATAAGCATTGTCTATTTCGATCCAAGACAAAAATTTAAATACCCATTTAGATTTTGATCAATTTTATCAATGAAAATGAATATTTGTATCAAAATTTAAAAACCAACAATAAAGACCGAATAATCAAAACCCAATCAACATAAGCATTGTCTATTTCGATCCAAGGCAAAAACTTAAATACCCATTTAGATTTTGATCAATTTTATCAATTAAATGGAATATTTGTATCAACATTCAAAAAGCAACGACAAAGACCGAATAATCAAAACCCAGTCAACATAAGCATTGTCTACTTCGATCCAAGGCAAAAACTTAAATGCCCATTTAGATTTTGATCGATTTTATCAATGAAATGGAATATTTGTATCAAAATTCAAAAACCAACGATAAAGACAGAATAATCAAAACCCAACCAACATAAGCATCGTCTACTTCGATCCAAGGCAAAAACTTAAATACCCACTTAGATTTCGATCAATTTTATCAATGAAATGGAATATTTCTATCAAAATTCAAAAACCAATAATAAAGACCAAATAATCAAAACGCAGTCAACATAAGCATTGCCTAGTTCGATCTAAGACAAAAGCATTAATACCCATTTAGATTTTGCTCGGTTTCATCAATAAAATATGTCGAATAAATTGAAAGAAAAGAGAAGAGAGAAAAAATAAAATAGAACATACCAGTGGTTGATTTAGGTCGGAGGAGAGCAGGTACTAACAAACACTTGATAATATTTAAGAATGTGAGCTGTACCCGTTCTCCTTCGACTTGGGAAGGAGACCTAAGGAGGTTTGATTTTGGGGGCTTTCTTCGATTATCTTCTTCTTCCTCGAAGGCGCAATTGAAATTATAATTTAATTTAAATGTCGGAGCTTCTCGGAAATTTTGGACCGGCTTTGGTGGAAGCGTGTTGGAGTGCTATTCTACTGCATTGACCAAAATGACCATAGTGACCATTTCATAGCTGGAGTACAAAAGCCAAAAAAATATATATATATATATCAATAGTTAGGTTTGTCACAAGTGGACTTGTGGTAGTCTCTTTCAATAGAAAGGTGATGTAGTTGCTTACATGAGTCACACGTGCTTGGTGCTTGCACACGTGTTTGGTGCTTCATCTTCCAAGTTTAGCTTTTCTATACATTATTATTGTATAATTTGTATTGTATACATGTACAGTAGTATTATTATATCTATGCAATACCATTGTTTTGAAATTTAATATACTATCTTGTTATATATATATTTTTTTTAATCGTAACGGTAAGACAAATATTTTGAGAAGCAACTTTTAATTGAGGTTGAAAATAATTGTGTCACATACACGATTGAGCTTGATATAACGATATTATATTTTAATTAAATTGTGTTGCACATATATAGCTAAACAAAAGAAGGTCCTTCGGATGGTCTAGTTCCCCATTTGATGTCAAAGGACCCAAATAAATTTAATTTGGTCCGTATTAATTGACTTTAGTAAAACTTTTTCATCAATTAAAAATGTCTAAAAAATTCTCACACACTGTTTTATATGGATACTTGAACTCAAACTTTTATTTTGTATATCAAAAAAATCTAACTCAATAGTATAATCTCTCTAAGACGGACGACTTAGCAGGATGATCGTTCCACTGAAAAAAAAAATTTATTTATAAAATTATCTGTATTTTTTATTAAAATCTTGAAAATATCCTTACTCAATTTTGAGAATATCCCACTGATATATATATATATATATATATATATATATAATAGTGTTGTTCAAAAAAACAAAAAAAAAAAAAAGTGTATAAGTGTATGTGTTGTCAGTAAAAACAATCAAAAAATGTATGAAAGTACTCGTTGAATTACAATTCACATGCCATTTAAAGCAAACGCAATAATTGTCTCTCTGTTTTATTGTTTTTTTTTTTTTTTTTTTTTTTTTTTGTTCTTTTTCCCAATAGTAGATGGTAAATGTTTTCTCTCGCCTGTCGCCACAATAATAAATAGGCGGCGGCTAATGCCCACTGGGGCAGCTCCCGTGACTTTTTTTTGCTTTTAATTTTATATACATACCTTCTTATAATAATACAAAATGCCACATATATTTTTGAATATCACAAAATGCCGGCTATGTTTTGTTATTAATATTTGTGCATATATATATATAGCTGCATATACAAGCCAAGGATTGGGCCCCTCCTGAGCCCAATTCCAGGCTCGTACCTGTTCTTAAAAGAGATAATAGTAACATGAGTGAGTGATGTTTCTTCTTGCCACAGTAGTAGAAATGCAATTTTTTTTTTTTTTTTTTTTTTTTTCATTCTAATTACACACTAGTAGAACGTAAAATTACCATTATGCCTCATCCTCTCGTTGCATTGGATTGTATATTTTAGTTCATTCCAAATCAACATAGTATTGAATCGAAGAGCGTACAGTCTCCTCCGATCACTAGGCGTCGATGAGGCATTTATTTCTGTAAGTCATTGTGTGCAAACAGAACAATTCGTGTATGTGTATGCATATGTATATATATATATATAGATGGATTTTTAAAATAATCGTCGGGACATTTGTTTTGTTTACGCACTTGTAAGTTTCAAACTTTCAATCCGCTTATTGTGATTCGTTTAGATTGCTTATATATATATTTTCTTTATTGATTAGTGTGGTTTTCTGGGGATTCAGATTTTGTATAATTTTATACATTTTTGCTGTTCCAAGTGCTATTTATATTATATTTTGTAATTCTTGTAATAGTTTGAAATTGTTGCTTCCTGTGATATTATATTGGACTATCACCATTAGTTCTATCTTTCCTAACTCAAATTTGAACCTCATCATCATTATTATTATTATTATTATTATTATTATTTGATATCCAAGAATCAACTTACCTGCTAGTCACTTTGGATCAGGGATGATTTGCAAACTTAGGATGCAAGTTATTGTCTAAAACGTGTGTATCATTTTAGTCCAAGTCTCACTTTGGTAAGTCTCAGACCAAAAACCTAAAAGGAGTACCCCCAAAGGTCTTACCAATGAGGTAGCCTGTACGGACTATCGATCTATTAATTTTGTTTTCTCCATTGCTATATAACCAACATTAGAGTTAGTGTTTTATTCGTCATTGCTCTCTTCGGTGAACAATTAGAGCTCAAGCACTTCGATTCAGCTCTTGTAGCCGTGAAAACCATGGACGAAGATCCAATGTGTCAATTTATTGTAATGTTGCGTTTGGGAGTACCGAATCCGTACTTTGGATTTGGGTTGGAGAAAATTTAATTTAAAGTTTTAACTATACTTCTCCCAATTCTAAATCCAAACCGCTGATTTGGTACTCCCAAACATAGCATAAATATATTTTCATAACGGTGCATTTATGGAGTGCTTCTTGTTAATTGTCAAGACAGCGCAATCTTGGAGACTCCCATGTGACCTTATGACATTTGACGAGTTTAATAGCATCATTCATTTTCATCAAATTATTTTGGAAAGAGAAAATATTTCAACAGACGAAGAAAATTTGTGAATATTTTAAATTGAACCAAAGATAATAATTCTGTTTCATCTGTTAGTTGACAAATTGTTTGACTTCTGATACTCTGTCAAAGATTGGGCTGCTAAAGCGCAACTGGAACCGCAGGTAAACAGATTAAAATATTGAATGCTATGTTTTTGTGTGTGTGTGTGTGAGAGAGAGAGAGAGGGAGAGGGAGAGAGAGAGAGAGTTCACACATTTTCAGAATATGCATGATACTAATGCACCAACTGAGCTTTATTTTGATTCTTCGATCCATTTTTTCAGTGCCCAATTAATAATTCTGATGCTTGTTGGTAGTGGAATTTGTTTACAAGCCAAAGCTTTAGATTATTTCTTCTCGTGATAAATTTGTTTGGGATGGAATTTGGTCGTGATGGGCTTTAATGATTTCGGTTTTAGACTTTACCTTTGCAGATTCTAGCTATTTCCATATTCTGGAAATAAACAATACAGAAATATGGAGTTATATAATGGTGATTCAATCATCATAAGCTGCTGTTAAACATTATTCTAGAAATGGATGATTTTTGTATTTGATCTGTAATTTTTTAAGAACATATTGTATTAATTTGTAGGACATAGACACCTAATGGACTACCGGCATTTGGATTAAGAAATTGCCATCGAATATTCTATAGAGCTTTGTGCCCCAAAGCCAAAGGACATGACACCAAATAGACTACTGAAATTTGGATTAAGAAATTGCCATCAAATATTCTATTACGCTTTGTGCCCCACCTTTATCAGGGAATCAAACATTACTATGGTCAATAGGCATAGACTAGTGAAACTTTTAGCTGAAGAGATGAGAGTAATTTAGCTTAAAAAAGAAATGTAAAGGCATGGTTGCATTCGATGTTGCTAATTCATTAGTTTTTGAGTGCTCGACCTTGACCATATATAACTTTCGTAATATTCAAATTATTAAAGCTTTGCAATTTGTTCGCGTTAGATTATGTTTTTTTTAGTCCGATGAGTTTATAGGGAGCTTTGTTTTTGGAATTCTGCACTTATCAGTGTCAAAGCTCAATTTATTCCTGTTGTTATCATGTTAGTTGTTACGTACCTTTTATGTCCTCAGTTTCCAAAATAATAGAAGTAATGTTACGCGAAATGTCATGAATTCGACTAACTATTGGTGACCGGGAGCTATGTTGCATGGATTCTAGTATGTGTATCAGCTATAAGTGTGTCTTAAGTGTTGTACCTTCAAAAATCCCAGTTCTCAGGAAAAGGGGACCTGGCTTGTAATGTGTCTAAGACTAAAAATTGGTAATGAGAATATGGATATGTCCAATACATTTCAATGCATGTTATATAACCTTATAAAGAAGATGTTTTTGTTTAAGGATAACACTACTTTAGAATTTAAATTAGATGGGATGTGGTGGAAAAGGGTTTTCATCTGTCTTAATTAGGAAACCTTTCTTTGTTATCAAAATTGAAAGCTTAATTTCTTCCATTATCTAATGTAGAGGATTGGAGTGTCTTATTCGGGGTTCGTGTGTCGGACACATATCTTATACCCGTATCCCTGTTTTGTCCTATCGACAATGATACATTGGCGGAAATAGGAGAGTTCATGTAACAAGACTAGGAGAAGGTTGTTACCCCTTAGAGGGTGGTGGCTTGCATCCTATTAGAGCTTTAATGTTGCATTACTAGGAATTTGATTGTGGATGGTCTGTACTGAAGTTGAGAGGATCTTGGGAAGAAATAATATTGTCAAATCTGGTTTTTCCTTCAAAGCAAGTGTGCTTTTCATTGGCCTCCAAATGTTTCTCTTCCTGATCTACTCCAATGTGCATATCATCAAAGGGTGCAGCTGGTGTTAGCCAGTTACAAGTTGGTTTTGTCAGATTGATAAGTGTTATGTATGTCTCAACTTCTTATCGGTTTGGGCTTTGAATTGTAATGGTTTGCAAATGTATTGTTAGACTTGGGCCCAAACTAACTATCCTTGAGCCCCACCAGGATTTGTATGACTTGCTCACTCAGCTATGGGTTAGGAACTCTCTATATATAGAGATGGTGTTGAGTTGGGAGAGTAGAGAAGAAAACAGAATTGAGGAGTGAGCGAGGAGAAGAGATTGGGTGCAAAGGGGGCACCAAAAGTAGAGAGATGTAGCATTAAGGGAGTGGGCATTCTCTACACTAGTATATTCTCTTCTTGATTCATTATAATGAAATTTCTTCTATGTAAGTCAAGTTGGGCCGAACCATGTTAAATATTGTGTTATTATGTGTGCTTGACTATGATTTGCTTCTCTTGTGCCAAACAATGATTATTTTCTCCCAATAATAAGGTACCTGTTGCATTGCTTGTACAGATTGAGTTTCGACTTCGTGAGATTTTATGTTGAAGTAATTGATGCTATTTTGGTCCTTTTGCAGACAGTTTTACTCATGAGCACAAGTTACTATTG